GGGGTGGTCTGGTGTGCCAACTGAGAGATTCAGCTAAAGGAGAACAAGACTTGTCCATTGGATTTAGCAACGTGGCAGCCATTAATGAACTTGAGAAGGCTGGTTTTGCTAGAACTGTGGAGGTAAAAGCCTTGCTGGCGTGAGATTATGACACAACTGGAGACAGAAGAGGGACAGCTTTCATGAATTTGGCTCCCAAGAGGAGCATGGACATAGGGCTCGGTGGGGGGTACAAGCGAAATAAGTTTTGTTTATTTTTTAAGATGGGAAAATAACTACATGTTTATATGTTGATGGGAATGATCCAGTAGAGAAACAGTGATGATGAGTGAGTCCTAGCGAAATTTGGGGGCTGATGGGGGTAAGGATGGAAGTAAAATGGAAAAGAAGTTTGATTCACTCATTAAGTAGTTATTTATTGAGTCAGTTCTACATACTGAGTGAGATACGGGTATTCTGCTGTCTTTAAAAAATTTTTTTTAACATTTATTTATTTTTGAGAGACAGAGTCTGAGCGGGGGAGGGGGAGAGAGAGAGACAGACAGACAGACAAACAAGATCTGAAGCAGGCTTCAGGCTCTGAGCTGTCATCACAGAGCCTGATGCAGGGCTTGACCTCACAAGCCGTGAGATCATGACCTGAGTCGAAGTCGGATGCTTAACCAACTGAGTCACCCAGGCGCCCCTCTGCTGTCTTTGATTCTAGTAAGTGATGCTCCAACTAACTGCCTCTTCTTCTTGTACAGTTTTGATGGTGACGACTTTGATGATGTGGAGGAGGATGAAGGGCTAGGTGACTTGGAGAATGCCGAGGAGGTCAGTATTTAGCTGTGGACTCCCCTTTTCTGCAGTCCAAGCTGCCAAATAACCCGGCCGGTGATAATCGCCTGAATGAATCTGCCTCTTGCGGGTCACATCCCCTGCCACAAGCACCCCCAGTTAGAGTGAGCAGTGTTCCAGTCTTGGGTGGAGGAAAAGTCCTACAGGGTGGACCATAGCCTGTGGCTTTGGGGGCAGTTGGTTTACTGATGTGTGAAATATCACCTTCATTCATTCAGCAAGCGTGTGTTGATTGTTATGTGTTAGGTGCCCTATGGGCAGGGTTTACTTAAGGAGCCCTGGGGAGAGTGGTCTGGGATAAAGCTGGAGAGGTAAGGGCCCACATCAGGCAGGATTTTATAGCCTAAAGGCACTTAGAAGCCACCACGTGTTGTGGTTTTTAAAAATATTTTTAAATTTATTTTTTTAAAGTAATCCCTACACCCAGTGTGGGGCTGTGGGGCTCAAACCCACAACCTTGAGATCAAGAGTTGTGCTCTCTACGGACTGAGCCAGCCAGGCGCTCCCACCGACAAGTGTTGAGCCGGGGAGTGGCACTATCCCGTGTACACTTTAGAAAGGGCATTCTGGCGTCAGAGTGACGAGGGAGTTGGGGAGGAGCGGGAGTTAAAGACAGAGACCTTGAGGGTCTCTCCATCTAGGCGAGAGACCCGTGGCTTGGACTTGGGTGCTGGTAACATAAGTGATAAGAAAATGGACAAAAGAGGTATTTTTGGTGGATTGGAGATGGAACTAAGAAAGTGGGAGGTGACAGGGGTGACCCCCAGGTTTCTGACTTGTGTCACCAGGTGGATGGGTTACGAATTTCATGAATGACATTGGGCTTTCTGTGCCGTGACTGATGGAGGAAGTGCTTTATGGCTCCTGGAAAGGGAGTGATCCCTCAATTATTTTAGGCTTGGAAGCTGAAGCCCCCATTTTTGGATTTTCTCTTTCTTCTGCACGGCACTCTCGGGTGCCTGTTTGCTGAGTCAGAAACGTCCTCCCCTGTCCTGGTCCCCTACCATCCCTATTTGGTTGATTTTGCCTCCTACACATGGTCCAGCCCTGTTTCTGTTTCTCCATTCTCAGTGCTTCAGCCTGGCTGAGGTCTTTATTCCGCTTCACTCACTTTGCTGCGGAAATGTGTTACTGCATTTCCCGCCGCCAGTCTCCCACCACTCTGCTGGATTGGCCATTCTGCTGCCACAGTTTCTCTTACCTGCCTACCTGATTGCTTACTACTCGTCTTCCTCTATGGTCTGCTTCTGCCCTTACCCTCTACAGGATATGCTCAACAGAGCATCTGTAGGGATACCTTTACATTTTTTTTTTTTTTAAGTGTATTTATCTACTTGGGGAGGGGGGCGGGGGAGAGAATCCCAAGCAGGCTCCATGCTGTCAGTGCAGAGCTCACACAAAGCTCGATCCCCTGAACCGTGAGATCATGACCTGAGCTGAAATCGAGAGTCAGATGCTTAACTGACTGAGTCACCCGGGCGCCCCTCTTTAGTTTTTATACCACGTATGTTACTTGTTAATTTTGTTATCTCTTGTAATACAAGCTCTATAGGGGAAAGAATTTTCATCTGTCTTACTCTTCTATTTCAGGCACTTAGAACACTGACACGTAGTAAGCACTCAATAAATATTTGTTGATTTAATTCTTTTTTTGTTGTTTATTTTAGTAATCTCTACACCCAACACGAGGCTCGAGCTCTTAACCTCGAGATCAAGACTCACATGCTGTATCCACTGAACTAGCCAGGCGCCCCTAATTCGTTATTTATTATAGAATTTATTCTCCTGCCTAAAACCCTTTGCACACCTTTTGCTCTAATCATACTTCACAACTCATACATTGTCTCCCACCGCTGTGCTTTTGTGCCTGCAACTCAGCCTACCTGGACTGCCCTTCTGTTTCTCGTTGGCTTGGCAGCTCCTACTCCTTCTAGAGTTGCTTGTTTTGTCTCTCGACAGCCTTCCTAACCCCCAGCATGAGTTTGATGTCCCCCCCCACCTTCTCGTGAACTTCATTGTCCACTTGCCAACCTTTGTAGCACCTGCTGCTTTGTTTACTCTTGTCTCCTCTCCTGACTGTGAATTCTTTGACAGCAGAAATGCTTCACTTGCTGTCTTATCATCCATTATGATGTTTGGCACATGACAGATCCTTCATAAGTAATTGTTGAATACACGTGAGCGCCTGTGTATCCTTGCCTTCACTTTGACTTTTTAGCCACTTGACCTGCTGATTCAGTTACCCTGTCTGAAAGATGGGGTGCTTATTCCTTGCCCCCTGCTTAAAGAGACTTGTCTGTGCTGAAGGACTTCTTGGCATATGGCTAATGTTCTGGAGCCACCCCATCTCCAGGCCATCTGCTTCCCTCTTCCGGATGAGGCAGTTGGCTCTGGAATCCCAGTCGTGGTTCTTCTTTTTTACTAGGTCTGAGACTTTGACCAAGTTAGCTAACGCTCTGAGCCAGGCACTATAATGCCCACCACGTAAGGTTATCGTGAGAATTAAAGGAGGTTTCACTGCGGGTGTGCATGCTGGCACGTGATAAGCAGTAATGGTAGGGGGGATTGTAATCATTGTCATTATCGTCCTGCCCCTCGACCCAGAAAATACACCTGAGACTTTCCCTCTTTTCTGTCTTGGCGTCCAGGAGGGCCAGGAGAACGTCGAGATCCTCCCCTCTGGAGAGCGACCACAGGCCAACCAGAAGCGAATCACCACACCGTATATGACCAAGTATGAGCGAGCCCGTGTGCTGGGCACCCGAGCCCTCCAGATCGCGTGAGTATATGCCCTTTCGTGATCTTGTCTGTCGGTCAGGCCACAGTAAGCTTCCGAGCTATTGATGTGGCCCACCCGGCACCTGAAAACACTCTCCCTGGTCTCACATGCTAAGCAACGGTGGTGCTGTCTCTGTGTGCCGGGCACTGTTCTAGACTCCTGCCCTCAGGGAGTTGGTGATCCAGTAGGAGAAATAGGACGTGAACATCTGAGGAGCCAAGTAACAGTCCAATAGAAACATAAGGAAAGTGCAGAACTTGGGTGCCTATTAGGTTAGTGAAGCAAAACAAAGAAAAAAAAGTGTGAGTTCAGGGAGCTATAGACCATCGTGGGCTGGTGGATCAGGGCTGCTGTGGCAGCACCTGTCTGGCTTAAGGTGGTTCTTGACCCGACATGGACGGTGGCCAGCCCAGAGGAGTGGGGAGGCCCTCCATGTAGAGGCCAGGCTAGAGGAGCGAAAGCACAGAGCAGCCTTGCCTTTCTCCTAAGTTTGAACCCAGGAGAAGAATGAGAAGGTTCAGGAACTAGCCAGTGGACAGGTGATTCTGTCATCTGAACGTGAAAATGTCCGATGGCTGCACATTCACCCTGTCGGCCATAGGCACTGTGGGCATCTGGAGCCTGTGTCTGCAGGGGCCAGCCAGCCTGCCTGCCAAGGCTGTGGGCGAACAGACCTGAAAGCACCCTCTCTGTAGGCAGGTGGCTTTGAGAGAGCAGGGACTGTCGACGCTGGGCCACGGACGCTTTTCCTCCCACACTCCCTCTTGGGAGTGACTCTTCTTTCCTACGGAGCAGTGAGTCCGGAAACAGAGGGAGGACACACGTGCTCTGCGTACTCTAACAGAATGTCCTCCCCAGGGAGAGACAAGGCTGAGGAAATGAACCCCCAACCCAACGTCTTACAAGCTGGTATGGGAGATGGGTGTCTGGTCGGATGGGCGCATCAGGTAGGGAATCGTGGAGAATTGGCCAGAAACGCTGGGGTCAGCTCTGTGGAGTGCTGATGCTAAAGGAGATTCTAATCTGTGTGTTCCCTCATTTGTTTTCAAATAGCACTGGGCTTTATCCCCGTTACTCCTGTGGGGTAAAGATGACCACCATGTGCGCTTCCAACAGGGTTTTATGGGTGGGTAACCCTGTTCCTCGGCTTCTCTAAAGCAGTAGACCTCTCCCTGGCCTGCTTGTACTCTTGGCTGGTCTGGGCGGAATTAGGGCTGCACTGAGCATGACAGTTGGGATAGTCGCTGGGTCAGGATCCTGTGGGTCTGCACCATCAGTTATGGCAGCCGCCTGCCGCATGTGGCCGTTTATGTTAAGTAAGATTAAGTGAAATGAAAAGTTCAGGTTTTCAGTCTCATTAGCCACATTTCAGGTGCTCAGTAGCCACGTGTGGCTAGGACTCCATAACAGAGAGCGCAGATAGAGGACGTTTCCATCATTGCAGAACATGCCAGTGGGCAGGGCTTGTCGAGGCTAAAAATGATCCAGCAGAAAGAAGAACTTCTCAATTATCTTTCAAACAAAGAGAATGATCGTATGCAAGCTTAAAGTCTTTCAGTGCCGACTGAGGTAGTGTGCTTGCACCCGCTGGGGATGCAAAGATGATTCCAGATGGCCACAGTCCCCCCCCCCCCCCCCCCCCGCCCCTCAGCCCAGTCCTCCCGGTGTTTGCTGCTTTGGGGGAGATGGCTCACAAATAACCAGAACCCAAGGCAGATGGGAGCAGTGCTTTCCAGAAGGCACGAGAAGGAGAAGGGGGTAGTTGTAGGGGTGACTGGGAGAGCCTCATGAAAGGATTAGAATTCAAGAGGGATGGGGAAAGGCAGGTGGTTTTGAGGGTGACCCAGGTGCCAGAGACAGTGCGAGGAAAGACAGGCAAGCGTGGATTGTGGTGGGGGAATGGCAAGTAGCTAGGGGCACAAGGGGCTGGAAAAGATGGCACCGGTGCCTCGAATGACAGGTTCAGGGGATCGGCGTGCGTTTGGTGGACAGGGTGGGGCACTTGAAAGTTTGGAGGCGGACGTTCAGGATGCTACCAAGACCCGTGTCCCGCTTTGCTTCGGGAGAGAAGCTTGGTTCAACTTAGTTGGGTCTGTTGTGCCCCTTCCAGTTAAGGGTTAGGATGCCGTCTGGTGGTTCCCAGCGTGCCGTGAGTCCTCAGACAGCCAAGGGCTGGATCTTGTCCCCTAGTACCAGGCGTGCGATGCTGCAGCTTGTTGGTGCTGAACAAATAGTTCTTGGATTTTTTGGATGAAGTCTCACTCTGGTTTTTTAGCACCACCCGGTGGCTGATGTTTGACACAGCCACTTCCTAAGGATCGTTGCCAAGTTTGAGGGGTCACTGGTGCAGACATAATACCTGAGGGCACACTCATGATTCGCACATTGTGTGCACAAGGCTGGATGAATGAACTTGGATTATTCCTATCTTGAAAGAAATAAGGTGTAGGCAGATTAGGAAAAACAGTTTGCTACGTTTTTTAAAGCTTTAAATGTAGGGAAGGACTTACATACTTGAGAGGGGATATAGGGAAAGTTAAACATTTGGTCCCTGCCCCTGCGAAATTTTCAGGGCTTTTGGAAGTAACAGAAATCAAAATAGTAATAAGATTAGTCAATTACATTGTGTAAACTGGTGGCTCTCAGACCGGCTGATGATCAGAGTCGCCTGGTAAGCTTTGCAAATGGAGGTTCTCAGGCTCCTTCACCAGAATTGCTAGTCAGGGGGTCTGGAGCAGGAGCTGCGAGCCTGCGTTTTTACCATGCTCTCCTAGTAATTCTGGTGATTGTTAGGTTGGGGATCCGTTAGTATAAACTTGTGCTGAAATCATGAATGGTGGCTTCCTAGAGGAGGTAGGCCTAGAGTTGGCATTCCTCCTGTTCATTTTTAGAGCCTCTTCTGAAGAGCAGTTGTTGTTAGGGCATGTGGCCTGGGTCACAAGGTGCTCTGGTCTAATGCAGAAAACTTCAAATAAGCAGCTACAGTACAGTGAGATCGAGAAGCTTGTGTCAAATGAGTCAGGGCGCTGAGCGTTTTCAGGGCGGACGATTTCCAGAGTGGAGACATGTGAGCCCCTCCCAGGCTTGTAGGGAGAGGAAGAGCTTACAAGAGGATGCAGAAGGGAAACAGCAGGGTGTGTACAGGGAGCCTTGGGGGCGTGGTGAGGCGGGAACGTGGGATAAGTACAGGCAAGTAGCATGAGAAGGTGCACCTAGAAGGACAAGCAGGAGCCAGACTGGGTTCTGGCTGATGGCCGTGGGGCGCCATGGAGGGTCGTAGGCAGGTGCGTGCCTGATCGCAGGCCCCGTATGGAGGCTGGAAGAGTAGGACGGCGAGGGGTGTTGCCAAGGTAGAGAAGGAAAATGAGCTGGCTGGGCCCTGAGGCAGGCCTGAGGAGTTGGGTTAGAGCGAGCCTTTGCCTGGCCATTCCTTTGTGCTGGAATACTCTGCCGTGGTTGCCGGGCCCAGGAGTCTGTGGTCGGCTCTGCCTTTCTTAAGCGTATGGATCTTTAACTTATTAGTGGGAGGCATTACAGCACAGTGGGTAGGAACATGCGGGATTCAAATGGCTGTGTGATCTTGGCAGATTACTGATCTCTCTGTGCCTCAGTTTCCTCATCAGTAAAATGGAAATCATAGCAGTACTTACCTCAGAATGGGGTCATCCCCATAAAGAGCTGAGAACAGCATGTGGTTCTTAGTGAGCCTTTACTTGTTAGTAACGTTTTAGTGTCGTAGGTGAGGCAGGACTGTCTCCCATTTTCAAACGAGGATACTGAGATTTGGAGAGAAATTCAGTGTGTCTTTGGAGGCAGAATTTAAATCCAGTCTCCTGGTTCCCACTTGCTTCTCCTCACTATGGCAGTGCCCCTGAACACGTTCCCACCCTCCCATGCCTGCCTGTCTCCCTGGAAGGTGACCTTTCTAGGTGAGGACTGGGATGCTGATCTGATCCTGTCTGTGAAGTGAGCCCCCTGATTTCCTGCTGGGCCCTTCTCCCCCAACGCCTGTCCCTGTACCTACAGGATGTGTGCCCCTGTGATGGTGGAGCTGGAGGGGGAGACAGATCCCTTGCTCATCGCCATGAAAGAGCTCAAGTAAGTCACCCAGATCGTGGTTCACTGCTCCTGAGCCCTGCGAGGTATCCCCCAGGTTCTCTGCTGCACACCTCTGCCCCACACCCCTGCCCGGGAGGTGAGATTCTTGTTCCTCTTGGTCCTTAGCTTGTTCTGGAGTCAGCCCGCCAGGCAGGGGGGTGGGAGGGGGCAGGCAAAGGGGGAGGGCTTTGACGAGGCAGGGTCCTCTCCTGTCTGTCAGAATCTCCCTCTTCCTGCTGCGCTTGGCTTTACCAGTATCCCTCCACACTTCCCCTCCTCCCCTCTTCAGCCCTCGGATGGCAGAGCCTTTCCAGAGCCACCGTCCCTGGGACGCAGGAACTCTCTTTTTATTGTAATTTCTTTTCCACACCTAGTCCTAAGAGGATGCTGCTACGACTTCCCTCCCCTTGCATTCTGCACACAGTGTGTCCCTTCTGCTATAGAGCTCGGGTCACCAGCCCTCATATACTTGTGACTTCTCCCTGCCACAGGGCCCGAAAGATCCCCATCATCATTCGCCGCTACCTGCCAGACGGGAGCTATGAAGACTGGGGGGTAGACGAGCTCATCATCACCGACTGAGCTGGAATCATCTTCCTGGCTGTGCCTCATCCTAGTTTCTATTTTCACATTCTTTATACATGTAAATAATAAACCTTTCAACCTTTCATCCCCCTCTGCCTCCAGCTCTCTGTGATGCCCCCTCGCTCCTTCCCTGATAGCACCCTGCTGCCTGGCGGGTGCACCCATTCCTGTGGCCCCGTGACTGTCAGCTCAGGAAGCACCAGGGGCCTTACTCCTTGTGGATCCCCCGCATCCCTCCCTCCATCTCCCTGTTCACCAGTGCAAAGGCTGCTGCAGGGAGACACCTCAGCTGCCTTCCCAGCAGACAGACGGGTCTTTGTGCCCAGGGAACTGGTTGCCACGGAAACCCCCAATTTCCTTTCCAGTGGGGACTGGCTTCAGGGGCTTCTCCCTTCTCAGGAGTATCACAGAGCAGGTCTCATCAAGCCACCCATTGTTTCCTGAGGACCTGCCTCGAGCCTCTTATCGTGGGCTCGGATCCCCTTTCAGGAGCTAGTGCCCCAGCAGGAAGCTTGGGGATGCAGTGATCTCCCGCCCTCCCCAGGCAGAGCCCTGCTGGGCAAGGCAGCAGCTGGAGCGAGGACTGAACACCTGCCCACCCCTGTCCCAGCCCTGTCCCCACTCCCCAGGTCACCGCCCGTACACTGCCTCCCGTGGCCTTCTGGTCCGCCTCCGCCATCCTCTCTCCTTCCCCACCTCTGGAAGATGTCCTTTCCCTTCTGTGTAGGGCCCGTGCTCCTCCCAGACCTTGACTGGGATGATGGTGGGCGGGGAAGCAGGGCTCCTGGGTTCCAGGTATGACATTAAATCGGGACTGGAGCTCCCCTTCCTCTGCCCTAGGCTCTCCTGGGTCCTGTTCTCTTCACCCTGCTTACCCAGCTTGCAGTAAGACCAATCGCGTTGCTTCCCCTCTCCCTTGTGGGGACAGGAAGAGGGTGTATCTTGATACCAACAGAGATAGAGGGGACGGTTGGCTCCCTGAATATTCCAGCCTTGCCCTCCATTCTGCTGCCAGCTCCCCTCCCAGGAAGAAGAGGGGCAGGCTTGACTTCTGCAAGAGGCAGGGTCTCCTGGGTGGGTGCTCTGTGGACAGAGTGGGAGTAATGAGCGTCCCCGGGGGCGGGAGGGGTGCTTGCCACTCTGAAGAAGGGTTAATCCGGGGAGCAGTGGACTTCGCACCCCCTTCCTCCCTCCTCCAAGCCTGTGGAGTCCTTTAATCAAGTTGGGTGCTGAAATTCCAGCTCTGAAATGCCGCCTTTGTGCTGGCGTCCAGGCGGCCGCCCCAGAGCGCGGGGTCACTTTCTCGGCCCCGATCCTCTCAATGGTCTCTTTGTTCCTGCTGGGCCGCTCAGTATCAGATGTGATTAAAGGGAGATGGGGTTTGGGCGGGGGAAGAGAGAAGGGGATGGGAGAGGGAGTAGGGGGTTAACCCTTAGGGGATAGGGTGTAAGGGAGATGGCAAAAGGGGTGGTTTTCCTCCTGTCTCCCTTCCCCTCTTTCATGGAGTCCGTCCCTTGCTGCTCAGCTGGCCAGGCTGGGGCATAGCCTCTTCAGTCCTCGCCAGAAACATGTGGCCCCATCTCTATACACATGGGGCCACTGCCTTGCTGAGGCCCAAGCTCATCCAGAACCTTAGGTCTAAGGGGTGAGCACAAGCCAGGTCTTCCAACTTCTCCAGGGTCCATTTGTCCTCTCTGGGGCCACTTTCCCTCCTCCCGTATCCCCAATGACTTCCCAGTCCATCTCTGTCTCATGAGAGGCAGGGTCCTGGTGGTGGCGGTTTCATCTCGATGAGGCCCCTCCCCTCTGCCCTGCTGGCTCTTGTGTCCACAACCTCACTGACAGCAGGAGCAGTGAACGGACTGGAAATGGACCAACAACCTGCTTTTCAATAGAGGGGAAAGGGTGGGTTGTAAAAACTGCGAGCACCTCAGGTTAGTACTGATTGATCCCTGACAAAATTCTAGAACAGGTTGTTGCATGTTTGAAAACACATAGCTAATAAAGAGGAGATCCAGGAGCTGTCAGGGTTTCTAAGAATATCGCCAAATGAGCCACATTTCCCTTTCTCAAAGGTTACTGGTCTGGTAGGTTGGTGGGATAGAGCGAATCTTGATTTTAACAAGGCATCAGGCCAGTCTCTGCATACAGCCACAATGGAGAAGTTTGTACTTCTAAATAGATTCAAAATTGATCGGACAGTCTTCCCCTAAGAGTGCAGATAATAGAACCGATGATGGAGAATCTTCAGTAGTGTATACCGGCCTGTCCCTGTTCATTTCAACCTTTTTTTTTTTTTTTTTTTTTTTTTTTTTTTTTTTTTTTTAATTAGTGACTTAGGGTATTCAAGTCTGCAGATCCATAAAGCTCGGAAGGAGCGCTAATAAGTTGGACCCAGAATTCCAAGACTTAATAGAGGTGGGGAAATGGTCAGATCCCACAAGATGAAATCTATTAAAAATCAGCATAAAGTCCTGCATTTACCCACAACATAACAAACGAAGACCCCAGAGAATAGCTTCTGTATAGTTTGGGCTGGAGCCCACAGATCGAAGAAACAGATGAGGGGGCTGGGGATGCTGGTCTGGAGCAGCAAGAGAAATATCACCAGATTACAAGCAGAAGTGTGGCCCGCAAGCCATGGGCAGGTGAAAGTGACAGTGGTTCAGAGCACAAGCTCCAGAGTCCCCTGGCTTCAGATTCTGGCACCAGCCCTTCTCAGCACCCACCTCTCGAAGTTTCGCAGCTGCCCACGGGGAAAACAGAATGA